ACCATTAATATTTTAAATTCAGGTCAATTGATAGAATTTTTCTAGGGTGTCCTTTCTATTCAAGAGACCTTAATTCACTCCTCTAATACACAATCCCAGATAGTTCATTAATGTATAGACTCTGGTCTTTATTCTTCTCTGGAAAATTTTGTTGGTTTTGTTTTTTTTATTTTGAAGGGAAGAAAAACAAAACGGTATAAAATTTCAAAACAAGATCGTAGGAGAGTAACAATGTTCGGTACGTTGTGCATTATTATCTTCAAAGTAGTTGCTCATAATGCAAGACATGAGCATAAAGAACCCATCAAGCAATAGAGACATATATCTATCCTGCCAATGAGCTAATAGCAATTAGTAGTATATCTATCTTAATTATGTGTGCATATATATGTTTTTTCCTTTTCCCTTCTTTCTTTTCTCCTTTCCCCTATTCCAGTTTCTCTTTCCTTTTGAGCATTTTCTTCCCATTTCACTATAACTATTATACATTTTGGGTCTTATTTACTCTTTGAGCTTCTTATACTAGGGAGACAATACGATGTTTACACATGCAAAACCTTTCATTTATAAGTGTAGGCTCAAGTTGCATCCATTTCCCTATAAATGTCTCAAGATTATCCTTCTTTATAGCTGAGTAGTACTTTTTTCCATCTGTTCCTTTTCTTCCTGTAGCAACTGTTGATGTTAACAAAGTAGGTTTCCTATATTTTGCAAGAATAGAGCTTACAGGTCCAAGGATATGGCTGAGCAGCACAGTGCCTGCCTCACAGGTACCCTTGAGGTCCTGAGTTCAATTTGAGGTACAAAAAATAAGAATAGTGCTTACAGTGGGCCACTCAAAGGAGAACCAAAACTATAACCTAGGTCTTCTATGAGATGTCATTGTAGAATTAAAAGTTGATGAATCCTTCTGCTGTTCTCTTACTTTGGCTAACCAGGTCAAATACACTAGGATGTGAAGACCTCATTTCTTCCAAGATTATTGGGAACATTTCCATCCCAGAAAGGATCAGGGGGTGTGCAATATTCAGGAATGGTAAAGTTTGGAAAAAAATGGAAAACAGAGTAAAAGAAGCTTCTCACTAAGTTTCTACTCTATAGAGGGAATCAAGGGGCTGGGGATTTAGCTCAGTGGCACAGCGCCTGCCTGGCAAGTGCAAGGTTGAGAGTTTGATTCCCGGTACCGGCAAAATAAACGAACAAAAAAAGAGGGAATCAAATTTGACTGTAGTCACAGCTTGATTTTGTCACTGAGGTTTAGCCAATGAACTTTATATTTCTTGAAGTTTTTGATTGTTTCACTGTTTGTATAAAAATTCCAGATATCTCAAAAACTATTGTCACACCTCTCAAACACTGAAGGTCCTTTCAGTCCTTCAGCTTGTAAATGTAGTTCACATTTTGCCCTGTGCTCCCTTGTCAGATTTTAAGGTAGTCCAGAGACCTCCAATGGATAGCAGCTGTGTCCAGGGCCTAGTGCTCTGCTAGGGGCATCCCTGCTTCCTTGAAAGATTTTGAAGAGTGGAGAGAAATTACTCACTTTCAGAGGCTGGGACTTTGTCTTTTTCTCCCATTGCATCCCTAGTGCTTAGCATACAATTACTGCTAAAAAAATGTAAATACTATTGAAAATACACAATGTGCATTAGTGCACCTATGTATACACAGTTGCTTTCATTAACTTCCAATTTTTAACCCTGGTTTATCTGGATAATGAGAAATAGAAATGGTTCTTTCATCATTTCTGGAGGGTATTTGAGACACTAAATGGAACATACATCACCAGATGCTGTGTATGTGTCCTTGCAGGCTGTAAATGCTGTAAAATGTGCAAGTGATGCATATACAGATATATTTTTTTAACAGATCTGTGTATTTTTTTAACAGATAGAGAAAACAACACAAACGATGTCTAAGGTAAGATCATGTATCATCATATATCTATAGTATAAAGAAAAATTGCTTTATATTTTCAGACTGTTTTTTGAGTCAGAGTCTTTCTGTATAGTTCAGGCTGGACTTGAACTCACTATTTAGCCTATGCTGGCCTTGAAATTGCATGATCCTTCTGGCTGTGCTTCCTGCATGCTGGGATTATAGGTGTGTACCACCATGCTTGGCGAGTTTTCAGACTGTTTTTAGTCAAGATTTATGCATTTGATTCATTCAGAGTTCTGATTTGTCATTCTAAAAGTTTTGAGCTCTTTGCAGGTTTCTTTTTTCTTTTATTCTAAATATGTCAGTAACAATCCAGTTAACCTCCATAGATCATTCCCAACAGACCAGTCAAATAATTTAAAATTCCAACAATTTATCATGATGAAATTGATGGGGCTCTTACACTTGATAAATTGGTTTAGTTTGCTCTTATAATTTGGCCCAGAGCCCTGAGATAAATTGCTTCTAAAGCACATATACTAAGAAAAGTGGAACTAGTGGTTAAAAGTAGAAAGTTATTTCTTGTTGCCTTTATTTTTGAGCCTGGAAAAATACTATTATACCAGTTTTTACTTTTTTATAGGTGTTAGTGTGGAACACATATAAACAAAAAAGAAAATTAGCCTTTATTCCACCACCCAGAAATGAACAGTTTAACATTTTGTTGTTCTTTTTCTTATTTATTTGAAACAAGGTCTTGCCGAATTGCCCAGGCAGGGCTCAAATTTAGAACTCTCCTGCCTCAGGCTCTTAGAGTTCTGCAATTACAGGCAAGCGTCAAGCCTGGCTCTTTTTTCCCCTTGTGTACATGTACATTTGCAAAATATAATCCTAGCCAGGAGTGGTGGCACATGCCTATAATCCCAGCACTCAAGAAGCTCAGTGAAACAGAATTTTCATGAGTTTGAGACCATACTGGGCCACATAATTCAAGGCAACCTATACTGTATATCAAGACCCTGTATCATAAAACAAACAAAAAGAAAACTTAATGCTAAAAGAAATACCATATTATATATTGCCTTTTTCAACTAATTAATGTATTAAAATTTTTATTGTTGGTTTCATTGTACCCTTGCATAGATTCTAGTTTTATTTTTTAGTATTTTTGCTTTGTTATCTCTCTTATCAGACATACTTCCACCAGAAAACATTGATATGTCAGTGTGGTCAGCTGTGATCTTCTCATTCTCAATCTTTTTTTTCTTGGTCTTTGATATTAGGTACTCAATATACCACTTCTAAATCACTTGAGTTATTTTGGTGGTGCTGTGTCCCACAGAGCTGGGAGAATAGCAAGAGAAATACCTTTTCTTGGATACTTTTTATAGGTTCACAGCACCTGATGCCTGGTCAAAGGCTATTCTTTATTGTTTGTTTTTTTTTTTTTTTTTTTTTTTTTTTTTTTTTTTTTGGTTTTTTGTTTTTTCTCCGGTACCGGGAATCGAACTCATGACCTTGCGCTTGCCAGGCAGGCGCTTTGCCGCTGAGCTAAATCCCCAGCCCCCAAAGGCTATTCTTTAGTCAAGCTTATTAAATAAAACCACTTGTCATTTTGGTACTAACTGTAAGCTTTATTGATTGTTCCTATGACTATTTACTTTAAGTCAAAATTTGAAATTGCACTAAGGTGAATTAAACTTGTATTTTATATGTATTGCCAAATTGCTAAGCAGAATGTTGATTCACTAAGTGATAATTTTAGATCAGTATATAGCTAAGGAATTACACTAGATTGATTTTGCTTCTTTTAATACTATTAAGTGAATATTACCAATGTTAATTGTAACTTTTTTTAATTTATAAGAACTGATACCTACATTTATCAGTTTTAATTGATTATATCTTATAAACAACCAATAAAGTGTTTATTAGCTTTTTTTAAAATCTTCTTTTAGCAACAACCAGCTCAGTTTATAAATCCAGAAACTCCTGGCTATGTTGGATTTGCAAACCTTCCCAATCAAGTTCATCGAAAATCAGTGAAAAAAGGTTTTGAATTCACGCTGATGGTGGTTGGTAAGAAATTGATTTATAGCCTCTCTCCTCAGCTTGTGGAATATAGTAGCGTGATCTATGTTATAATAGTGAAAATTCCTTTGTTGTCAAAACCAAATAACTTGAGAATTTGAATATATTATATATATATGAGATATAGATATAGATATATATATGTTTGTTATAGGTACTCAGATATATATATGTTAGACATTTTTGCCCAACAGTAAGGTCATCTACTCTTCAACCCCCTTACTAGGCATTGAACTCAAAGCTTTTGCACTGAGCCTTGTCCCTAGCCCTTTAAAATTTATTTTTATTTTGAGATAGGGCCTAAGTTGTCATTTTTGATCATTTCCTTGTTAATGTGTGTTGTGTAAATTTCATGGAGAGATACAGAAGAAACATCTGTCTCTAAAATGAAGCAGCAGCTGGGGATGTAGCTCAGTGGGCAGGTGCTTGCCTAGCATGCACAAGGTCCTGAGTTCAATCCCCAGTACCACCAAAAAAGAAAGAGGGAGGGCGAGCAGGCCAACAAACACAGCTTGGGCCGTTCCAGCTTGGCAAAAGCTGGTTTATTGGGGTTTGCTTAAAGAATAGTGGTCCACTTGTGGGCTGTAGCGCCATTAGAGTCACCTTGTTTTAGGATATTAGTGTCATGGGGCACTAATTAAAAGAGCAAAAGTGAGAAGGGTCCTCAGGAAGAGTTGTGTGAACTTCATTTCTGTCCTCATCATGAGATTGTTGGTCTTAGCAAGCACTGTCTGGCCACAGTGATGGATGACCTTGCTAGGTTGGAGTCTGACACAGCCTCAGAACCTAGTGGGGTGTAGGCAAACAGGGGCCCCTGAACAACAGCTAAATTGGGGAGGGGTACTGTTATGGTTTATGTCTGTGTGTCCCTTCCAAAGCTTCATGCGACCCTGGGGCAGGCTATTAGAGTTGAATGATTGTGGGTGTGAGAGCTACACCCGCCCTGGGGTGGATAGTTTGCATATGTAAGGGAGAGGAAAAGAGTGCTTGAGGACATTCCTCCCCCATTCCGCCCTGGTGTGTGTGCTTGCAGCTTAGCTGTGTTCTGCCGCCCTGAGCTGTAGCTCTTTGCCGTGTGCCACTCTGCCTTGTAATCTGCCAAGTATGGACTGAAACTTCCACGAACTGTAAGCGAAATAAATCTTTCCTTCCTTAATTTTGGGCGTCAGGTATTTTGTCCCAGCAGCGAGAAAAAAGTAACCAAGACAGGTACTCCAAGATGGAGACCCCTAGATGGCTGGATCTCAGGGCAGTTTTTCAGTACCACAGGTAATGAATGTTTGTACTCATTGTGGCAGCTAGCATCCAAAGTGACCTCCAAGGATACTTCCCTCCTGATGTTCACAGCAGTCTCCATGCTGAATAGGGTCTACTTGTGTAGTAAGACATGTGGAGTGAAGGTATGTTGCTTCCAAGAGTAGGTCTCAAATGATACAGTGTGTAGCTCTCACCTGCCTTCTGTTGAGTCACTCACTGGGGTAGAGCTGCCCTGTGGAGAGAACTTGCACAGCCTGAGGAAGAAATCGTCAAGGCCAGAAACAGAGGTTGAAAGCGGCTCTAACCCCAAGTGGGCTTCTGAAGCTTGATTGTTATTTTTTTGGTCTTTTTTTGTTGTTGTTGTTGTTTTCTGGTACCGGGAATCAGACTTATGAGCTTGTGCTTGCCAAGCAGACGCTGTGCCGCAGAGCTAAATCCCCAGCCCCTTGATTGTTTTTTAGAAACCCCAAACTAGAGCTACCCACTTAGCCACGCTCAGATTTCTCATCCCAAAAGTCTGTGAGTTACTGTTTGTGATGGTTATAGCCTCAAAATTTTGCAGTAACTGTCAGATATTAGCAGATAGCGATAAAACTCTTAGAATTAGAATGGTGGTTTTTATTTTAAATGTTATAAACTCTTAAAACAATAGCAATGGATGTATTTTAAACAAGTAATAGTCCTTACTATGTTAGAATACGACAGGAGTAAATAAGCTCTGTAGTAGGTGGGATAGTAAATATCCTAGATTTGTGGACCATTCAGTTTTGGGCACAGCCCTTCAATTCTGCTCTTAAAATGGAAAGGCAGTCATAGATAGCATGTATACAAACAGGCATAGGCATGTTATAGTAGAGCTTTATTTACAAGAACAGGTAGCAGACTCTATTAGAACTGAAGTCCTTAATTGCTAGCCCTGGCCATCCTACTGTGAGTAAGTAGAAGACTGGACAAAATATACAAACCAGCTCTTTTAAGGCACTGAACAATAGGTAACAAAGGAACTTGATCCTTAAGAAGGGAGGTAAATGAAGCAGAGTGTCAAGTGACTGCAGCTTTCTGTTCTTTACTTGTCTGTGCCACAGGTAAAGGTAGGGATAAATCAAGGACACAGCAGTCTCCTAGAGCCCAAGAGACATCACAATTCAGGGAAGCTGGAGTGACTGAAACCTGACATAGCAGGGCAGAATACTAAAAAATGGAGCTCCAGAAATATGCACAGGGATCCCTTGGAAGTATGGGGTCAGGAGGTAGTGGGTTCCATCTAGACTAAGGGGAGAAAACCCTGCTGAACACCCAGAGCTCTCAGTGGAAACTGGACAGAGTTCTTGCCTTGGCATGGGACCAAACTAGACATATAAGCTGTTGTAATCTCTCCCTAACAAAAAACTTAGAACCAAGCCTTGAAAGGGTCAGGTTTTTTCATAAGCTAACTACTTGCTAGGACAAAAACCGTCACTTACTGAAGACATCAAAGTCCAGGCATTTGCAGGGCTGAGATATGGTTCAGTGATAACAGCATTTGTTTGGCACTTGTAAGGCCTTAGGTATATCTCAAGCGCGCGCGCGCGCCCACACACACACAAAGAATAGCCACTGACTTATCAGGAGCAGTGCAGTGCATGGGGGAGTGACAGTTTAAAGTATTGAAACTAGGTCATCAGTCTAGAAATATGTGTGTATCACAAATATCCTTTAAAAATGAAGCCAGTTGTGGTGGTGCATGTTTGTAATCACAGCACTCTTAGGAAGCTATTGCAGGAGGAGCTCAAGTTAAAGCCCAACCCGGGCAACTTAGTGAGACCCTCAAAATAAAAAAAAAAAAAGGCTGAGATGTAACTCATTGTGGAGGCCCTGAGTTCAGTCTACAGTCTGGGGGGCAGGGGAATAAAATAAAGACATTTTCAGACAAATAAGTTGAAAGGGTTTATCAGTCCTGCACTACAAGAAAGTTCAGATGAAGTTCTTCAGGTTGGAAGGAAAATTTCAGATGGAAATGATCTATGTTAAAGAATGTAGAGCACTAGAAATGGCAAATATACAAGTAAATAGAAAAGACTTTCCTTTTTAGTTTCTTGCAAAGATAAAACAAAAATAATGTATGACATAGAAATAAAACAGGCTATCACTATGGAAGCCTGCTTTTGTAAGCATTTGACACCTTTTATTTGAAGTAATAGAATGTTATTTAGAGCCTGCTAGGTTACTGGTGCCTGTTGCATACTCCAGAGCAACTACCTGGGGAAGCCCAGATTTTATTAAAAGTGAATAGCACTGATAAATTAGATTATTAGAAGTAATTAATCCAGGAAGAAAGCAGGAAAAGAAAGATCGCATGAGACAAGAAGTGACACAACAAAGTCAGTAATTATATGTGAAGGATCTAAGTACGGTGGTAACTCAGTTCATGAACTTAATTCTTTCCAAAGATGGAAATGATTGTGGTTGCAAACCAAGTTGGACAAGAACTAAATCAGATTTTAGTGACAGGTTCAGTGTTGATCTTATGGGGCAATTTGATTCAGTTCTTGTACCTCTTTTACAGTGTACCTCAAGTGTAAAAGGCAGAGATTATCAGAGTGAGTAATTCAGTGTCTGTATGGAAAACATTCTCAATATAGGAACTCAAAAATATGTTAAAAATAAAGAAAAATTTATCATGTTAGGCCAATGCTAATAAAGCTGAAACATCTATATTATGTAAGGACAGGAGGCTTCAAGTCTACTCCAGAGTATTACCACAGGTAAACATGTATCATAATGATAAAGGAATCGGTCATTTCCAAAATGTATCCTATTACATATATACACATTTAATAAGAGCTCTAAAATGCAATGTAGAATCTGATTGTAGAAAGAGATAAGTATACTACATGACTATTTAACTGGCTTAGGAATCTAGAAACTCAGTAAGATGATAGACTTTTAATAATGCTATCAAACAGCGTGACCTGATTAACACACAGAGCATTATCTAAACAGCTACAGACATGTGCACATGGGAGATTTACCAGAAGTACTATGAGCTGTGAAAACCAGTATGATGGGGTCAATATCATAGAATATTCTGTGATCACAAGCAACATCAGAAAATATTTTACACTGAAGGAAAGTGAAAGACAGCATATCAGAATTTGTGCTGTGAAGCCAGGTGTGGTGACACATATCTATAATCCCAGTGCTTGGGAGGCTGAAACAGGAGGATTGTTGTGAATTTGAGGCCAGCCTGGGCTACATGAAGTGACCCTATCTCAAAACAAAACAAAACAAAAAAAACAGTAACAACAAAACAAAAGAATTTGTGGTATAAAACTAGAGAAAACAAAGGTTCAATTTAGCCACCACAGTTTTTACTATGAACTTGAAAGTAAAGAACAAACCAAACTCATAATACAAGAAAGAAATAATAAAGAGCAGGAAGGCAGTGTAAGAGGAATTGGACAATATTGAAAATTAGTGAACCCAAAAGCTAGATTGATAAAATTGATAAGCCCCTGTCTTGACTGAGGAAACAGAGACTCACGTTACTAATACTGTATATGGGAAAGAAGAAGAGGTCATCATTACAGATCCTGCACTTGTTGAAAAAATAATAGGATGATATGAACAACTTATAGCAATAAACAGCTTAGATGAAACAGAAAAATTCCCTGAAAGACACAAAACTGAAAGAAATAACCTAAATAGTCATGTAGCAAAGAAATCATCTTAAAACTTTCCTAAAAAATAAA